ATCACAATCACAACTAATTGGCTATGCAGATGTAGGATTTTTATTAGATCCACATAAAGGCAAGTCTCAAACAAGTAGGATATGTATTGATTTGTTGGGATATAGCTATCTCATAGTGTTCAACAAAACAAATTTTATAAGCTACCTCATCATATCATACGAAAATAATTGTAATTCACAAGGCATGTTAAGAATGTGTTTAGCTGAGGTTAGAAATTCAACATATTCAAAAAAAATGTGTCATTTTTCCCTGGAACAACAAATTCCAACAGTATTACATAAAGATAATATAGCTTGTATAGCTCAATTAAAAGGATGGTGTATCAAAGGAGAGAGAACAAAACATATTTCTCCAAAGTTCTTTTTCACTCAACAGTCTTTTAAAGAGTAGTGATATAGATGTTTAGCAAATTTGGTAATGTGACAACCTTGCTTATTTGTTTACTAAGATATTGTCGACTAGAACATTTAAGAAGTTAGTGTACAGTATTGAAATATGCAAACTTAAAGACATAAAATTATGTTATCATTAAGGGAAGTAAATATTATGTACTCCTTTTTTTTTTCAACTAGTTTTTGGTCCTAATAGATTTTTTTCAAGTAAGATTTTAATGAGGCACAATATTCATTGTAGAATCCAAGGGGGAGTATTATGAATATTACATAATTGGATGCCCATAACCCCTACTCTAGGATTCTTTTAGGATTCCTCATCTTCAAATGTCATAAACTACATAACCTCCCTAAAGAATGACCTAGGGGAGTTGCAATGGAGACTGATATACATATATTACTACGTGGTTTGTCTCCATAGCATGCACTATGGTTGGCCTCTTAGAAAGGGTAAGATCCTTTCATTTGCAACGCTCCAAGAGTATTCCGAGATAGTATCCTACGAGGTCAGCATCCCCACTAAGACACTGAGCAAGTAAACCTATTGGGGCAGCATCCTCCTTTTCTAGAGGAACTTGTGGCCAGCGTGTGCTTTGCCAACTTTGGTTAGTTGGCATCACATGTGTGGAAAGCTTGTGAGAGTCAGTAGTCATATGATTAGGACTGAACCCATGGATTCAAGTTGGCATGTATAAGGAGGATATAAGTCGAGAATTGAATGATTAGTAATGGATAATGAATGATGATTAAAGCATGCATATATGCTGATATTGCCTTTAGCTTATATGTTTGTGATATTTGTTTCCTGTTATGTGATAGTAATATGTTAATGATTGTTTAAATTGTTACTCCCACCTAACACCTTCGAGTGATGCTAGTAGGTGAGATGGGTAGGAGTTTTTGTTACTAAGATAGTAGTCTCACTCCGTTACTTCTAACATTTTTTGGTAAGAGCAGTAGAGGAGTCATGGTGGGGAAGGAATTGAAGACGTGAGGTCAACTTCATGGGTGATTGCACCTCAAACTCTAGATATGTTTAATTATTATTTATTTGCCACCTAGGACTTCGTTATGCATCTCTTTTTATATTTTTCATGTTAAAACTATTAATATGTCCTTAATTATAAATTTTCTTTTGAGAGCTTTGCAGGCCATAGATCCATGATTGAACATTTCTGAGGAGTTTTTGGAAATAAGTTAAATTTTGTTTTGTTATATTACTTGTCACGTACAAATTGTGTCAATCAGGTTCATGAAAGACTTTTTATAACCATGTTAGAAGTATAATACTTTCCTAACATGGTTATATACTTCTAACATGGTTATGCACAACTAGTAGTTATGATTCTTTTGTAACCATGATATATCGTATTGCTAGCTGGTTGTCTTATTTTTTTATATCATAGTTATGTGGCAAAGAGTAAAGAAGTTTGGAACAATTTTTATAACCTGTTTTCTTTTATTAACATGGTAATGATGTTGATATTGTGTTAAATGTGGCAAGTTTCTAAATAAAGTGTTACAATACTATTCAATTTTGAAGAAGTATCCATTAGACTTGATTGATAGCTATTTATTGAAGCATTTGAGCATCTTCTTGCTTGGTTGGATTGGAGTACAAGTTTTTTTTTTTCAATAGGTGTTGGAGTTTTAAAGAGAGTGAGTGAGTGAGAGTGAGGACCTATACTTAATACTGAAAACTACAGCAATTAGATAAAAAACAAAAAATAAAAGTGATGAGTGTGAGTCGGGAGGGGATAAAGGAATGAAGGGAAGGTCTAAGAAGAAGAGGTGGGGTAGAGTCAGGGGTGTTCACGGGACGGGACAAAACTTTTGTCCTGTTTCCCCCTTTTTTTACAAAAAAACACTATAATTTTTTATATGAAATTTTTATGTTATAATATTTATTTTTCATTGAACTTCTAAAGATAAAAACATTATTAAAAAAATATTATGTACAAAGTTCAATTATATAGTATAAAAAAAAGTATAAAAACAATACTGTAAAAAGAATACCATAAAAAAAACACTATGTAATGGTTTTATAAATTATTTTATTGAGGAAGGAGATTTTGTTGAGATAATACTACAACTTAAGAGTTAAAAATCACTATAAAAATAATAATAATTATTATTAATAAGTAAATTGCATAATTTAATAATAATTATTAATAAATAAATTTTTTTAAAAAAAGCCTGGGACAGGACGGGGTCGGAAGATCCTGTCCCACATCCCATCCTGTCACGTCCTAAACTCATCGAGACTGGGATCGGGACCGGGATTATGACGGGACAGGATGGGCAAATTGAACACCTCTAGGTAAAGTTGAACGAGTATAGGATAAAGAAGTAAACGCAGACACGCAGTGGGCACAGAATGAACTATTCTTTTGCCTTTTACTAAAGAAGTGAAGATGAGAAAGATGATGCTGAAGCGGCATAATATGTGATAATACATGGCATTAAATTTTAGGCAAAAAAGGAGAGGCTAAAATCATGATTTCTCAATTTAGGAAGTTAAGAGTAGAAATGATAGAGATGGAAGTAAACTCAAATTGAAATTTTGAAATTCAAGAAAAATGACAAAAATGCCATTTTGTTTTTTTAAAAAGGTTTAACCCCTCACAAACCCTGCTGGTTTTCTTTTCCTGATTGAATTTTTTTTTTTGCCATGAGAAATCATTTGAGAAAAGTGGTGGGGTGGGATTTGATCCCACCACCCCATGGTCATTACTCATTTGGGCTAACCAAAAAAAAAAAAAAACAAATGACCATTAGGCTACCAATTGTTTCTTAACTTATCAATGCAAAAACATATATAAGTTAACAATTCGTGATGACAATATATTTAGGAATAACAAGTCTTGATTGAGAAGTGATAAGTTTAAATTTCAGATTAGCAGGAAGTTTTTCCTGATACATAACAGGAAATAACATGTAAATTAATTAAAAATGATAACAATTTATATGAGAATGATAAGTCTTGATTGAAAAATAATAAGTTTAAACTTGAGATTAACAAGGTGTTTTTTTTTCTTGATATATAATAGGAAATAACAAGTGAATTAATTAAAAATGATAACAATTTATTGGGGAATAACAAGTCTAAAATTAAGATTAACAAGACATTTTCTTTATACATAACCTGAAATAACATGTGAATTAATTACAAATGACAACAATTTATCTAACAATGATAAGTTTTGATTAGGAAATGGCAAGTATAAACTTGAAACTAACAGGGTGTTTTATATATATATATATATATAAAACAGGAAATAACATGTGGATTGATTAAAAATGATAACAAGTTATCTGGGAATGACAAGTCTTGATTGAGAAATGACAATTCTAAACTTGAGGTTAAAAATGTGTTTTTTCCTGATACATAACGTGAAATAACATGTGAATTAATTAAAAATGACAAAAATTTATCTAAGAATGACAAGTGTTGATTGTGGAATGACAAGTTTAGATTTGAGGTTAATAATATTATTTTTAATTGATTCACATGTTATTTTATGTTATGTATAAGGAAAAAAATATCTTGTTAATCTTAACTTTAGACTTGTTATTTCATAATCAAGACTAATCATTTCTAGATAAATTGTTGTCATTTTTAATTAATTTACATGTTATTTTTTATTATGTATCAGAAAAACACTTTATTAATCTTAGGTTTAGATTTGTTATTTCCTAATCAAGACTTGTCATTCTCAAAATAAATTGTTGATATGAGTTAGAGTCCGAATAAATAAGTTAACTTATATATATATTTTTTGGCATGATAAGATTAACAAATCATTGGTGGCCCAAGGGTCATTTTTTTCTTTTGTTAGCTCAAATGACTATGGGGTGGTGGGATCAAATTCCATCTCATCACTTTCCCTAAAATAATTTCCAACGAAAAAAAAAACTCTGCCAGCAACCACGGTGGCGTATGGCAAAGGATTGAATTTCTTTTTTTTAAAGAAAAGGAAGTCAACTTGGTTTTACTTCTTTTCTTGTTATTTTCAACCCTTAGCTTTCTAAAATGAGAAATCACAATTTCAGCCTTCCTTTTTTGTTGTTGTCATTTTTCCTAAATTTTATGTGTCAAAGCCAACTCAACCAAATTGGGTCAACTATCAGCCCAAATTAACTTTGCTAATGGGTGGGGCGACATTGTTATATTTTCAACACTTTCCGGACAAAATTATTCTTAAAAAAAACTTTTAAATGTCCACAGCACCTAAAGAAATACTTTTAGAGCTAACTGATCCAAATTGGGTCAACTATTAGTCTGAATTAACTTTGTTAATGAGTGGCGCAATATTGTTATATTTTTAATGTTTTTGGGATAACATTATTCTTACAAAAACTTTTGAAAGTCCACAGCTCTTAAAAAATACTTTTAGAATTAAATTGGACCTTATCCCGTGAAAAAAAAAATTTGAGAAAGCAAAAACAAACGAAAAAATTGAAGTCAATTCCGTTTTTTCAGTGTGTTTGTTTGTTTTGTTTTCCCGTTTTCCCGTTTTTGGATAGTACAGCGGAGCAGTACTAATTCCCGTTAAAACTGAAAACAAATTTACCCCAAGTCCAAAGCGCTGCCGTATTGCCCTCTGTGTCTAGGCCCTGCACTGCGTAGTCGCTGCGCCTCGCAACCCTCAACTGTGAACTCTCAGGTCGCTCCCGCCCTCTCGACTCTGTCTTCGCTCGAGCCTCTGGGTCCTTTGTCCTCGTCCTCGTCCTCACTCTTCGGTCTCCACACGCCGTCGGGGTCACTGCAGCTGTCGCCTCTGCTCTCTCCCGTCGGCTTCACTCTCTGCCCCTATCCTTCTCTCCTGGTAGGTAGAATAACTTTTACCCCCTTTGCATTTCTTTATTTTTTTCCCGTTTATGCTAGGATTTCACGGTAGATTATACAACTCTTTACGTTTCATCAGTGAATGAATATTTTAGTTTGTTTAAGTTGATAGGCTCGATTCCGTCAGTTCATGCTTGGATCGAATTTTTCATCTTTGTTAAAAGTTTGCGCGCCTATGGAGCTCGATGAATTCCCCGATTGACAATGTGTATAGGTTTCTTCAGGAGTGCTTAATTCTGGTTTTGGTTTACTTATTTATATGGTATTCTGCGAACTGACACATTTGTTAGATTGCTAGTAGGTTAGCTAGTGGCATAACTTTCCTCTTTGATGCTTGATTTTTGTTGAATGATTAAAAAACACAGGGTTGTTTGAACTTTTATTAAGCTTCTTTGATCTGAAATCGTCTTGAATAATAAATATTAGTAATCGATGGCTGTAACTGTGTGTTTTTCTATAGTCCTTTGGGAACAGAATGGCTTCGTTCACCTTGTAAAGGTTTGACTATATTGAGTTTCTCTGAAGAACTTCGCAATTTTGATCTATTTGTTCGATGCAATAAATGAGCTTTTGTTTTTCATTTAGCGACTTATTTGTGTAGAGCAGATTCTGTATACTCTTTCTTTCACCCTCAATCCTTGATTATTTGTTATTATTCTGCAAGTTAGAGAATTAGTCATCTTTGTGGTTTGGATGAAACAGGAGCTTTTTGATGGCATTATTTGTTGGGATATGGTGTGTGGTTACTTGGATATCTAATTGAAACTTGAAAAAGTCACTTATATAAAATCCTTTTTGTATTTTTTTTTTTTTTTTGCATATACTTGTGGTTTGGCATCTATATATGCCTTGCATCAGAAAACACCCTAAAAGAGGCCTAATAACCGGGTTAACTGACTAACCTAACTAAAATATTTTAGCTAATTCGGTTCCGGTTCATTTGGTAAATTGGTTTCAGCTAGTGTTTAAAATTGGCTCTGTTTGGTTTTTCGATCAATTCGTTTTTCATTAGATCTACAAATCCACATATCTGCTGATCCTTTTGAATAGGGAGGGATTGAAACCTGTGGGAGGGAGATCGGAGATGCTATGAGTTTTGAAGAATGGAGATTGATAGTGATTGGGGTAATTGGAAAAGGTGTAGCATAGCGAGGTTGTGAGATAGAAGTTAGAGAGTCAAGGTGATGACCACTATGATGACAACAACGAGTGGAGACATGGGGTAAGAAGGACAGTGAGAGTTTGTTTGATTTTTGAAGATGGAGACGGAAGATTGAAGGCACAGAGCAAGAGATGAGCAAACTCCATTGAGTATAATCTAAATTGTGAACCTTGACTCTTTTAGTCTCTTACTCCTCTAGTCATCCAGTTGCTGCAGTCGCTCTTGTCTCTTGCACTGTGTCTTTACCCTTTAGTCTCCATCATCAAAAATCAAACTAACTGTTGCCTCTTCCTTACTCTCCTCTCTCCACTTGCCATTGTCATCATAATGGCCGTTGCTTGTGATCTCTGACCTTTGTCTCATGGTGTTGCTGCACTTCGCCTTGTGTAACTACCTCGATTGCTTGCTCACTTTCATTCTCTGTCTTTAGAAATCACAGCATCTTCAGTGTCCCTCTCATAGGTTTCAATCATTCCTCGTTCAAAAGGATATGTAGATATGTGGATTTGTAGATTTATTGGTTCACTAGTTGTGATTTGTAGATTTGGGGACTGTGGTTGGTTTTTTTTGAGTGTTTTCTTTTATCCTGAGATTGGTTTTGTTTGTAACATTAATTTTTGTGACCATAGGGATTTCTGGACTAGACTAGATGTTTTGTACAATGTGCATTTGTCTAAAGTGGAAAGTAACAAAATGCATGTTTCCCCAATAATCAAATTAACTGATCAAAATGTAACTAGATTTTAAAATTTCGCATCCAATAAGTTATTAGCCCTTACAATTTTTTAGCTACGTGTCTCATCTATGTTTATTTGTTTTCTGAACAGGTGAAGGCAGTTTCCACTTAAACCCTAGTTGTCAGTTGTAACAGGTAAGCTGATATTGCTGTGGAGCACACTCTCGTTCCTTGTTATCACAGAATTGTTTTGGCGTCTCAGACTCGACTATGGCAACCTCATCGGAACAGCCGATCCCCTCCTCTGGTGAAACCATTAGCAAAAAGTGAGTATACTGAACCCTGCCTCTGCATATTTTGGATTTATGGTCTTGCTTGATGTGTTTTTGTGGCTTTCCTCACAGTGCACTGAAGCGGGAACTCAAGAACAAGCAGAGGGAAGAGGAAAGAAAGCGCAAGGAGGAGGAGAAGGCCAAGAAGGTACTCCTTCTTCTGAAATGCCAGAAATATGTATTTATTTCTCTGTTTCTGGATGGTTTTTATTACTGCTTCTGTGAGATGCGCTTGTAGCATGAGTCTTTGGCAGTTGCTTCGACTGTATTCTTGGAGTTATCCTACAATAGATATGGGTTATCCGTTTGATTTTATGCCACATAACCCTTTTTCCCTTTACGGGGTGGGGATTGATAAAAAGGCTTTTCTCTCTGACATGTCAGGATCATGCCTCTGCATTTCAATAGCAGATCAGTTAATTAGGACATCTTAAATAAATTTATGTTCTATTTTCAGGCAGCTGAAATGCAAAGTTCTGCATCTAATAAAGCTGCGACTGCTGATGATGAAGATATGGACCCAACGGTAAAATTCAGCTCTTGTCATTATGGTATTTCCAAATGCACTATCATATGAAGAAACCTTCATTTATTTTCCTGGCAGCAATACCTTGAGAATCGGCTGAAGTATCTTGCAGCTGAGAAGGCTGAAGGAAAAAACCCTTATCCCCACAAATTTTCTGTCTCTATGTGTATTAGTGAGTACATTGATAAATATGGGGGGATGGGCAATGGGGAGCATCTTGAGGATATCTCTGTGTCTTTCGCTGGTAATGACATTTTTTTATTCATTGTCATTTTTCTATGCGTCTTTTATGATTTATGTATTGATGTATTGATTCTACATATTCTGCTATTCCAGGGCGAATCATGCAGAAACGGTCTTCAGGTGCAAAGCTAGTCTTCTATGATCTGCATGCTGGTGGTTCCAAGGTTCAGGTTATGGCTGATGCAAGGCATGTAACGTTTTGCCCTTTACTTGAGATCAGATATTTTGAGAGGGGAGAATTGCATAAAATAATGAATTCTTGATAGCCATCCTTGATTTCTGAGCGCATATGTTGATGACTCATCTTGGGATGAAGGTAGAGTAACGTACTGAATGGGAGTGTACCTGGCCCAGTGAAAAATGGAAGCGTCCTTCATTTTAGGGGTTCAATTCCCTGGCCTATGAATGAAAGAAAAACTATTTTAACATTGGTGTGCAATTTTCAGTTGTTTGATATGTTGTTGTTGAACCATGTGAACTAGCTTCTTTACAACCACTGCGCATGTTAAATGATATATTGTGTGAAAAATATTAAATCATATGTCACGGAAGTCCGTGGCTATTTGGACATGTAAACTGTAGTAAGCCTCTTGTCAGTTTGAGTGTTAGTGTTTCCCTTGGGACAATCGTATTTTTATTTCTTAATATACTTTTTATGTCAATTCAATTCTTGTTAGTATTTATTTCTCTGGCAAATTAGACATCAGACAATAGATCAATAAAGCAAGTTGGTGGCAGTATGGTGCTGTCTTGATAGTAGTAACTATTTTTCTAGATTTAGATGAAAAATTGCATGATCTTTTAGTTGACAGAGTTTCGGTTTTTAATTCACTTGGTGCACAATTTTCTTATTTGAGGGCTCTGTTTTTTCTCTCTCACATTTTTTAATGTCTTAACAGGACTAAAACAGTGCGTGTTACTGTGGTGCAGGAACTCTGACATGGATGAGGCTGAATTTTCCAAGTTCCATTCTAACGTGAAGCGTGGTGATATTGTTGGTGTCACTGGCTTTCCAGGTTTGGGACGCAACATCTGAGTTGTTCTCTTTCTTTCTTTCTTTCCTTTTTTTTTTTTTGGGGGGGGTATTGTTTTTCCTTTTTGGTTTATTGATTCCCTTAATTTTGAGGTATAAATCCAGTGAATTGCCTTTATTTCTTTTTACCAGTATGGTTTTTTTTTTTCTGATAATATTCTCCTCCTCTTTATCCCCCCTCTAGCAAATATACTTACTTTGGGGGGAGAAAGTTTCCTATTAATTTTCTTGCTTCATTAACATGAGATGGTTTCGTTTGATTTCATGCCTTGTAATTCCCTGTTATTCCTTCTTAGTAATATGCATAATTACATATTAAATAGTGTTTTTTTTTTTTAAAAAGAAAGTAAATAGTGTCAATCTAACGATAGGAAAGTTATGCTTGGGCATTACTGTTAAGACATCTTCAAGATCATGTCAAGTGTAACAATTGCTCTGAAAGTATTTCCTATTTAGCGAACGTGGAATGGCATGATATCTGTCCTTGTGTGTAATAAAGAGGAGTAGATGCTTGTGGCAAGTCTTATTTTTTTTGTTGTTGTTGTTTTTTTTTTTCCAAATTAAAATTCACTTAACCCGATTGCACTCTGAATAAATTCTCATGCTTCCCTTTTCTTGTGTTCCAGGGAAAAGTAAGAAGGGAGAACTAAGTATTTTCCCCAGGACTTTTATATTGTTGTCCCATTGTCTCCACATGATGCCAAGGCAAAAATCTGCAGCTGCTGCTGATAATGCAAATTTGAAGGTGAATGTAATTTCCTTAGATCTATAATGCTGCTGAGGCTCATATATATTCACATCATTACTTCTTTAATGATATGCAGAAACATGTATGGACGCCTGGAAGTCCCAGGAATCCTGAAGCCTACATTTTAAAGGATCAGGTTTTTTTTTTTTTTTTTTTTAATTTTCAAGCTCTTACTTTGTTGTTTTATCTCCTTTATGTGCCAAATACTAGTGGGCAGGAAATCATCCTTGTCTGTGTGGCCCCTTTTACAAGTGTTATATAGGTGGCTATGTAGTAATTTGACTATATTTTATATGTCTCATTTGTAGGAAACAAGATATCGACTACGCCATTTGGATTTGATGTTGAATAATGAGGTTCGAGAAATATTCAAGACCAGGAGTAAAATAATTTCTTATATTAGGAGGTTCCTCGATGACCTTGATTTCTTGGAGGTTTGTTTCACTCGCGGCGTGCTTAGGCCAACTTCCTTTTGCTGTTTTTGGCCCTTTCATTTACCCGCTTTGCCTTCCTCTTCAAGGTTGAAACACCAATGATGAACATGATTGCTGGTGGAGCAGCAGCCCGTCCATTTGTAACTCATCACAATGACCTTAACATGAGATTGTTTATGCGAATTGCACCTGAACTCTATCTTAAGGAGCTAGTTGTTGGTGGTTTGGACCGTGTTTATGAAATTGGAAAACAATTTAGAAATGAGGGAATAGATTTGACGCATAATCCTGAGTTCACTACATGTGAGTTCTATATGGCTTATGCAGACTATAATGACTTAATGGAGATTACAGAGCAAATGTTGAGTGGTAAATTTTTTTTTTTTTTTTTCCTTTTATCATTCCCTAATTGTGGAACATTCTCTTCAAGTGACCGGGTTGATCTCCTGACGTTGAAACCTTCAAATAGGTATGGTTAAGGAGCTTACAAAGGGAAGCTATAGAATCAAATACCATGCAAATGGGATAGATAACGATCCAATTGAGATTGACTTCACTCCACCTTTCAGGTAGGTCTTGTATATTGATGGTCAACAATTGTGGCAATAAATTGTATTTTTTATTAATTGATTCATTTGGATGTTTTGATATTTGCAGAAGGATTGACATGATAGAGGAGTTGGAGAAGTTGGCAGGCCTAAGTATCCCCAAGGACTTATCCAGTGAGGAAGCTAATAAATATCTGAGGGATGCTTGTTTAAAGTTTGACATCAAATGCCCTCCACCTGAAACAACAGCACGTTTATTGGATAAAGTGATGTCCTTGTCATTATTGGATGAATGTTGATTTCCCAATCCCTTTCGGGCCAAAATTTTTATGATGATATTACGCATCAATAGTATTTTACATGTGTCCAAGTGGTAGTTTTATGGCTTGATGCTGATAAATCCCACAATTAAAGAACATGATAAGAACTCAAATATTGGAAAGTATATTTCTTCTACTGTATTTTGGATCTGAATAATGAGGTTATATATTTTTCCGCAAGGAGCCAATACATTCTTTCCTACCACAAAGAAAAATAAAAGAAAACAAAAATAGGGGATAAAAAGTGTATGTGTATTTCACTTTAGTCTGTGAAACAATTGGTTGTTGCCCTAATAAAATATAATAATTTTATTAAATAGTTTTTTCGATCATTAAGCTGTAGCATCTCTATAAGTTAGAATTGTGACATCAATGACTCTGCGAGATTGGAAACTGAATGTCTACTCTGTTATTTGATTATTCGCGTTTTTACCTGTATGCACTGTTCTGGATATCTTAATCCATATTGAACTGTATCTTAATTCTTATGCGACTATGAATATCATATTGTAGCTTGTGGGGCACTTCTTGGAGGAAACATGTGTGAATCCTGCATTCATCATCAACCACCCAGAGATAATGAGTCCTTTGGCAAAGTGGCACAGATCAAAGCCTGGCCTAACTGAGCGTTTTGAATTGTTTGTTAATAAACATGAAGTTAGTCCCTGAACTTTTGGTGAATAATTCTGAATTTAACATGTTAGCTGCAATACAATTAATGCTACATGTGACTCTTGCATTTCAGCTATGCAATGCATACACGGAATTGAATGACCCCGTAGTACAACGCCAGCGATTTGCTGAGCAGCTCAAGGTATTGAGATATGATATACTAATGTGTTGTATGGAATTGTCTCTTTAGAATGTTTGGCGTTTTCCTTCCCCAAATTATACTGAAAAAATTATTCAAAATATGTGCTTTGAATTCCAGGATCGGCAATCAGGTGATGATGAAGCAATGGCCTTGGATGAAACATTTTGTACTGCTTTGGAGTACGGTTTGCCTCCAACCGGTGGTTGGGGTTTGGGCATTGATCGGCTGACCATGCTGCTGACTGATTCACAGAATATTAAGGTTCTTGTTTCCCTCTCCCCCTACTTTTGTCTTTGCGATCACTCATTGCTTAAAGTTTTTGATGTTTTTGGGTAAACAGGAGGTTCTTCTCTTCCCTGCCATGAAACCTCAAGAATGAATACTCTAATCTGGTTTGGTTCCCTCACTTCATCTGAGTGAAAAATTCTTTTATGATATCATGCTTATAAAACCTAGCCGCGAAGCATGCGTTTTTACTGCATTAGTAGCTTTTTCTTCCAGTGAATTAAGGATTTCACGCTAGCATGTCCGCTGAATACCTTTTCGTTTTTGGTTTCAGTTTTGACTTGATTTTTGGAAATGACGGTGAAGAAAATGATATGGACAGAGATAGGAGAAATGAAAATGACGAATTAAAAGTTATGTTCACTATTATTTATTTAAATTCACATACTGAGGCGATCCTAATTTTTTGAGACTTTCAACGAGTGTATGTAAAAATTACTTGACGTTGCCATTTGGTGTTTAATTTATTGATACAAGTGAGTTTTAGTTGTGCTCCTGCTTGTTAACAAGGTATAATTTGAATAGAACATATTGCTTGGTTTTCCTTTTTGCCAGAAATATATCGTGATTTTTATTTCCATCTTCACGAAGCTGAAGTTACCTTTTCTTTTTTTTGGCGTGGGGGGGGGGGTGGGGGGGGGGGGGACGAAATAATGTTTCTCTGGTAGTCAGGTCAATAGCAGCTAGCGCCAACTCACAGTTGTCTAATGATATAAGAGAGAAGGTTCTGTTCCTAATTATGGGGTGAAGTTTTCAGGCTCTATTTGGTTCTAAACATAGATGTGCTTTGTTTTTTCATTGTAAAAGATCTCACTCTTCTTTAATTGCAACAAACTGACATGCTTTTGGTTCCTGGATATTGTGATTATTAGTTTTAGGGAAGGGAAAAGTTTAAAAATTATGCGGCTTTCTGCAAGTTTAATGATAAAAATTACCACACTTTAAGAATGGTGAAATTAGTTAACTTTGTACTGTGATAGGGATGTGAGGGAGTATGGATAGGGTGGTTGCGTAAAATTGAGGAATGAATCGTGAATCTTACTGTTGAACACATGAATGGCATACATGCATGTGTATCATTACTGAGATGATAAGTGGTGGTACAGGCATTAAAAGTCACTCTGTACGGTCAAGATTTACGCGCTCTCCATTTTTTCCGTTGAGTTACCATTTTCATCAGAGACTTCCCAATCTAGAAGATGGAAGGTGGGAGAGATGGAGAAAAGAAATTAAAAGAGGAAATAGAGATGAGGAGATTGTGGGCGGAGACTATTTGAAGACTTCGAAATGGGATCTATTGAAGGGTAATATTTTCGCAGATTATATAGAGCCAGAGAGAGAGAGAGAGAGAAGGTGGGGGGTTATCTTATCCTTACTCAGTGATCAGTGATGAACAGTTCTTATGGGATTTTAATATACTTTTCTAATCCTAAATATAAAACTCATTTTGTAGTATAATTAAATATAAAACCTATTTTGTAGTGTAAATTACATTACAAAATGCGTTTTATATTTAGGACCTGGGGGAGTATATTTTTTTGGAGCCTGGTTTGCCTTTTCGGAGTTGTGTGAGAGGGAGGAGTAGAAACCGAAGTGAGAAGATACCATGTAGAGGTGGGGAAGAAGTGAAGAACACGGTGGGGTTGGGAGAATAATTGGGAAGGTGAAAATGTAACTGCAGATTTTTAACAGTGTTCGCTCCTATTTAACAGTAAGGACTCACGGATTTAACGGCACACAATTGAAGAATTTAATAAAAAGGGATTAAGGACTTGATGTAAAACTGAATGGAAACGTAAGAACATTCAAATTAACTTTCCCTAATTATAATAAGTGTTTTACATTGTAATTATTTAAGTGTTTTTTGGACCTCAAATGTAATTATTTAAGTACTTGTAATTGTGTTGTGCATTTTCATTTTACTTCTGAGCCCCTTGCTGTATAGTCCAGTCACTAGCTGCTTGTGTAAACGGGCCTAAACGTGAGCCCATATTGAAGTACTTGTAGGAGAAACTGAATAAACTCTTCACTGAATGAAGAATGAATTACGCCACCATCTAAGCCTGAAATCCAGGATTTGTACAAGTTTAAAAGGGCTTAACAGCCCGAGAAACTCCAGAAGAAACAAATAAAATAACGCCCTGGAAATATTGCAAATTATCATATTAAAACAAATATATTCTTATTTTCTAGAACTTGCTTGTCAAATTTTCTTGTGAGAAGGTAAGTGAGTTGGAGAAACGATTAGGTGCTGAATTACATTCGTGGTTATTTTTGGATAATTGTGGCATATAGTCTCTAACATTTGATTTACAAAACTATGAAAGATGAACTGCAAGTGAATGAAAGATACTCCTTGGTTATTTCTTTCAGCACAACTGTTTTTTTTTTTTTTCAACCAAAGCACAATTGAATTGAATGTTTGAAATTGGTTGTTTAGCGACATGTGACGAAATTGATAAAAATTAATTCACACAATAAGAAATATTTGATTTTTTTTCAATTTAAATTAATCAAGACTTGGCCTAAAAGAGAAATAAATTATAATACAGATAAGTTAAAATACTTTCTTTTTCAAAATACACGGATATAGAATAGTAGAGTCCATGGAGAGAATCCCCACTGAGAAGAAAGAAATACCATGGTAAAGAGAAAAAGGAAACGTGATGAGAAAAAAACTTTTAAATAGAAGCACTGATTATGGTACCATCAGCCCTTTTTGAAATGATAATGGGCATTTTTGTATTTTTACCTTTTTTTAAATTGGTATTGTTTTTATTATTACATTAATACTCATTATTACTTATGAATTATGACAACTAATTAATGAATTTAAAATATTAATATAAAAGTAATATTTAAATAAGTTTAACCGGAACATTCTCATTTTTGGCACAGACGAATGAGTTGATGAATGGTGAAAGTAACATATATTGACCCAATGTGTCTTCAAAATTCGTTATATAATTTCGGGGCAAGTTGCTCTTTCCATTAATTATGAAGTGATTTTTTTTGTCATTTTATATTTTATTAGGTAAATAGCATCATGCACTCTAATGTTATTTTTCAGTAGCATCCAGCACCTTAATTTTACTTATGTGCATCCATCATTTTTATGTTATTTTTTTTAGTGCATCTAATACCTTAATGTTATTTTCCAATTACATTTAGGATCATAATTTTATTTATGGTTTATGTTGGTTAGATGTACTATAAATAAAAGAGTAAAATACTTTAATCTTTCTTACATTTTATTTTAGGTACGTGTAGCTCCCTCTATTTTACAAACATACGCTTAAGTTTAAACTGCTAATTTTGTTAAGAATATTCTTAAAAAAATTTAAATAAATTTTTTTCCTAATCTTGCCTTCATCAAACAAAATCCCTAATTTTGGCTAAAACTACGTTGAAGAATTTATTACTTTTATTTTTATTTTCTTTAATTTTATTTTATTTTATTTTTCAAATAATTATTTGTTTATTTTTTATCATACTGGGACAGAAGTTCAAGTAATTTAGGTAGTATATATGAAAAATGTAATTAGTTCTATTAATAAATATATAAATTAGATTAAATATGTTTATAAATGGTTGTAGCAAAAATGTGTTTGAAATATTCTTGTTATATCATGATTTGTATTATACGATAAAATATGTATTTGAAATATTCTTTCAGTCATTTAAAAGAAACCTAAAGAAATAAGTTTCAATACATGTGATAAAAAATCAAAATTATAAATTTTATAATATAATAATAATTAATAAATTTTAGTGCACATTAGAAAGTTTGAAAATATATGCCTTATAATTATTTTTATGTTGCATAACAAAGTTTTGAAAATGTTTAAATAATTCTTATGTTAAAGAGCGGTATTTTAGTCAAAACAAAAATTTTGGAGTCAAACTTAATGGTTAACTAATGATTTGACTGGATGAGGAAAAAAATTAAGATGTTAGAAATAGTAGAAAAATAATATGAAGGTGCTGAATATAAATAAGATCAAAATGTTAGATGTAACAAAAAAAAACCAACTTTACTCTATTTTGTTTGATTGATAATTCATAAAGAACAAAAGTTTGTGTGTTGTGTGTTTTCAAATTATAAATCGAGTAACCACCAGGGCCTTCCCCTTTTTTGCCTTCACAACCAGCCAACCAGTATGGGCTTAGTTGAGCTACAAAACCCCAGCAAGGACCTTAATTAATAAAGAGAAAGGAGATAACCATGTGCTGGCGGAGAGGTAGCAGAGAGGATATATGATAAAATGGAAAGAATGGGGAATAAGAGAAGGAAACGCTATGTACATGGAAGGTCACATTAAATATATATAAAGAATAGAGAGCTATCTGCTATGTTCATTGGGGCACTTTCACTTGTGCTCAACTTTTAAATGAAAGATTAACTTTTATGCATTTTATAGCCAAACAAGATGAAATGGTTCAATGGTCAATCCATGTAAGGTTTGACATCTCTGCTACATCGTGGCTCAATTAAGTGATCAAGATGAGATTATACGTTAACAAAGGCAAGAATCCAGGATGCCGCCAAAAAGTTGTAAAATTTCTTCAATCTGTCATATGATGGGAATTAAATTTCCAGCTCCGAGAAATTTAAACAAAGGAAAAAAGGAAGTACGGGAATCTTTTGCTGTCATATATTGTTGTCAATCAGTGATTGATTTGATAAATTTCAGAATAAAGTTTATTTATTGTTTTTTTTCTTTTCTTTTTGGAATTACTTCACCTGGTATTTCAAAGTAGACCTCGTATAACGGGAAAATTCAGGTTTAAACTAATTCGGATTCGGCTGTGGTAGGACCCCGAGGGCGGCTGTGGTAGGATCCTAATGGCGCTTAGCTTCCACCAAATATTTAACACTGCTGCATGTCCAAGACTCAAACTCGAGACTTTTGATTAAACTAGAATGCTTGCCACTTAATCTAAGTGCTTGATGGTTGTTTCTTCCTTTTCTTAGGAGTGATGAAAGCACACTGCCCGCCAAACTCTTTTTCCCTCTTAGCAAAAATATGGGAAATGGTAATGCTCAATGTTCATTGTGTTTACGGGTCATAAAAGCACAGCGCAAAATTTAATGCGCTTGCTCGTATATTTTGCAAGATGAGCAGTGAAGGGCATCCAAAAATGACAAAAGTGCTTTGTGGTCATTTATGAGGATTTGGTGTGGAGGGCATTATTGTTTGTCAAGGAATGTTGGATTCATCCCAATGAATAAACCCTAAATCCAAACTAAAAGTCTTACTCCCAATGGGCTCCATTGTGTTACTACAGTACGTGTGAGTAGGATTTTTTTTTTTGACATGTTTCTTTGTGTTTAAATTACAGTTAAGGTGCAAATTTATAGATAAAGTATTTTGTCATGGGCATCTAACATTATAAAAAAATTTTAGGCATAAAAGTACACATGAAGTATTCAACATAGTAAAAAAAAAAAAAAAACACTATTGCTAAGTTAACTAACGCTTATCATTTAACAAAATGTAGGTCAAGATAATAGTGCAAAAACATAAAATTTTCAACAGCT